AGGTCACACAAGGGTGTAGAGAGTCAGAATTAGACCCACTGCTCTTGATTTTCTGTCCTGCCGGCTTGCAAATCGGACCATAGCATCCCTATCTCTCTGTTAATATACCACTGACAAGTCACAAACATTGCCATTGGAGGCATCTCTAGTATTCTCTCCCTGCCCCAGAGGCCCCCCCCCAAGACAAGAGGGAACAGAAGCCATTGAAGGATGAACAGCATTACTAACCTTTATTATTACTCTGTGTAGCACCTGATGGAGATGCAAGATCAGCCTTGGATGAACTGGAAAGAGTGTCCCTCCTGCAAATGCTGCTGGAGATGTCAGGCGCAGAGAGGGGTGATGGTCTTAGGGAAGCAGGTAAAATAATTCTTGCATGTATAGGTGGTCTGATTTTATTGCTACCGAATTACTCTCTATTCTCTTTCACTAGATGGGGTAAAAACCTGTTTTGGAATAGAAAGATGACCGATAAAATAGGCTAATAAATTGCCCAACACTCTCCCCTTCTGGTGTAAAGACTCCTCTGCAATCTTGTGTTTTCTGTTTCTCACCAACTCCTTGCAAGCATCATGCTCTCCTTGGTACCTCAGCATATATATATATATATATATTTTTTTTTTTTTTCTGCACAGATTTATTTGGAGGGGAAGGAGGGTAATATCCTAGTTTCCAATAAGTGCAATTTGAAATCCTGCTTTCCCTCTTGCTAAAATCTTAAGCAAACTACTTAAGCATCTGGTACTTCAGTTTCTTCATCGGTAGACAGGATTTGTACAAATACCCACCTCACAGGGCTGTTGGGATAGCAACGAGAAAATGCAAGTAAACTGCTTGCCACAGTCACACACAGCCACCAATAAACTGTCAGCTTTTACTGTTTTCTCTGACTGTACTCTACACACAGATGAAAATGCTCAGGACATTCTGGAAATGAAATGGAGCCTTTTTCTTTTTTTTCTGAGAAGGGGGTGGGGGCAGGGCAGAGGGAGGGGGAGGATCTCCAGCAGGCTCCACGCTGAGCGCAGAGCCCAACTCCGAGATCATGACCTAAGCCAAAATCAAGAGTCTGACACTTAACTGGTTGTGCCTCCCAGGCGCCCCCAAATGGAGTCTTTTAAGAGACATTGTTTAATAGAAGGAAGTTCATTCATTTAAAATGTTTCCAATAGGGCGCCTGGGTGGCTCAGTCGGTTAAGCGACTGCCTTCGGCTCAGGTCATGATCCTGGAGTCCCGGGATCGAGTCCCACATCGGGCTCCCTGCTCGGCGGGGAGTCTGCTTCTCCCTCTGACCCTCTTCCCTCTCGTGCTATCTCTCATTCTCTCTCTCTCAAATAAATAAATAAAATCTTTAAAAAAAAAAAATAAAATGTTTCCAATAAACTACTGAACTGCTAACTTTTTGGGGAGAATGTAGTGCCCTTTGTGAACTCCCATCAGCAAGAAAGAACAAGGGTATCTGCCTAGTTGCTTTCAAGTAAATATCGCTGCAGAGTGAAAACAGGAAGATCAGAGGGGCGCCTGGGTGGCTCAGTCAGTTAAGCGTCTGCCTTCGGCTCACGTCATGATCCCAGGGTCCTAGGATCGAGACCCGCATGGGGCTCCTTGCTCCGCGGGGAGCCTGCTTCTCTCTCCCCCTGCCTCTCTGCCTACTTGTGGTCTGTCAAATAAATAAGATCTTAAAAACAAAACCAAACCAAACAGGAAGATCAGAAATTAGACATGACTTAATAATATTCCAAGAAAAACAAGCATAAACTGGAAATCACAGATCTGGTGATGAATGGTTTCCAAATATTGTTTTCCAGGTCTCAGTACTGACATTGCTAGCCCTAGAGGAAGTCTGAGAAAGGTAAGTGACTCTACTTACGACAGTTAGGCAAAGCATTTTATACCTCGACTTTAGAAGATCCAAAATGCTTGAACTGGGTAGTGTCCTGGGTAGAAATCATACTCTCAAGTAACTGGCCAATCAGTGTTATTTCAAAACATTCATTTTTCTAAATTCTGATTCATATGTGACCACAAGAACTTGTCCAGTGCCTGTTTTGGGTAAAAATTATTTTAACAAGTTTAAGGGAATGAACAACAGGTAAGGTCCCTGCTCTCCAGTCTGTTACCCCTCTGCTAGCTCTTTCATCATCCCCACACGTGGCCCAGGGGCCAGCAGCCCTGATGTCACTTGGAAGCTCATGAGAAGTGCAGAATCTCCTACTGAATTAAAATCAGCGTCCTAGCAGGAGCCCCAGGTGACTCGCATAGGCATTCAAGTGTGGAAGTTGCTGGGTGTACCATCTAAGTGGAAGAATGTTGTGCTCAAACACAGAGGTGGAACGTGGGCGGTAGAGTGCAGGGCACAGGTGCTACTCTGGGTGCAGAGGAAAGGCTGGGATAGGGGATTGGTGAATGACAGCATTAGATGGTTAGAAAGGGCATGCAACTTCTGGGGGGCCTCAGACGCTGAAAGAAGAGTCTGCCTTTGACCATCACCAACACCCCCAAACTCTAAGTGCTTCCTGAAGGGCTTCTGGGTACACCAGTCCCACCAGCCAATCTACCGTGCCTATTGTTCTAGCCTCTCCCACCCCACTGATTCTGTGTGTACATCAGCACATCGAAACCTTCAGGAAATCCCGACATAAACTTATTTAACATTAATCAAGGACTTCCCAAACATTCTGGCCAGAGACATCTTTTTCGGTGTAGTACCCACTAACATCCTTATAAAAATATACTGGACACACTCTATCCCAGAGATGGCAGACACCATCTGAGGTCCCAATGGGGCAAAACCACCAATAAAGTCCACACTGCATATATTCCAACAGGAAAAATACTTTCCCAAAAAATAAACTGTAAAACAAAAAAATGAAGAAGGAGGAGGAGAAGAAGAAGAAAAAGAAACCTGAGAAACTAACCCACACATATATGGCCTTAACTTACGACACAGGAGCAGAAAATATACAATGGGGAAAGGACTATCTCTTCAGTGAACGGTACTGGAAAACTGGACAGTAAATGCAGAAGAATGTAACTGGATCACTTTCTTACAGCACACACAAAAATTTTAAATGGATGAATGACATGAATATAAGACCTGAATCCATAAACCTCCAAGAAAACACAGGTCTCTCGACTTACCACCAGAAGGGTGTGGTGTCTGCCTGCAACAAAGTAGAAGTCATCATTCACAGGTATATATTTTGAGTAGAAGGATTACAGTTAAAGACTCTAAAATCACAAAGGTGATTCATAGGATTTGCTCATGCAGTTCTGCAGTAGAAACAAAACTAAGGGTCCACACTTCAAGAGAAGTTCATTTCAGGGGAAATACAAGATCTGTTTCACACAGGAGATAATAAATGGACAGAACATGTTCCTGATCGATTATTTAAATTGAGATGGGTCAGTGAGGGCTTGGGGAACTTCAGGGCAATCAGAGGACTGACAGAGTGGACCCCTGGCGGGGTGCAGGGAGCCCTTCCAGAGCCAACACACTCTGGGCTCCTACTGCAATTACACCCCACACGACTGAGCAGGCACTTTTCAGGGGTCCTAAGTCTTAACTACGGTTCCTCTTTCTTGTAGGGGTCTTAATTCATTGATAACCTATGTTTTTTTGTTTGTGGGTTTGGTTTCAGGTTTTCTCTGTACAAGATCTTAACATTTTCCTGAGTCATCTTTTGGCCAGAAATAGGAAACAAGATAAGAAGCGTGGGTCTCCCTCTGAATGCTTCTGGAAATACTGTGTCTGAAGTGAAATGAACATCTACTAGTCAACTCAAAAACAGCCATCTTAGAAAGTTAAAAACAAAAATGCCTGGTTTGAAAATAGTATAGAAAAAAAACCTAAGCAAACTAGACTCTGTCCATTATTATTGGGAAAATAAATCCTCTATGTTTTGCAAATATCATGAGTGGTCATTTTACTTATAAACGTGTCCTGAAAATTCATAACTTTTCTTTCCATCAATTTATCCTTGAATTCTCTGAAAATTTAAAAGTAAAGCTGTAAGTGAACAGAAGCAAAAGTAAAATTTATTTAAAATAGCTCAACTACAAATTGCTTAAACATTATCTGACCTCCATGTCCTCTCAACCTTAAACATGACAACGTATATTATTACTTAAAAAAAATCAGTGGGGCACCTGGGTGGCTCAGTCAGTTAAGCATCTGCCTTCAGCTCAGGTCATGATCTCTGGGTCCTGGGATCCAGCTCCATGTCCCTGGGGCTCCCTGCTCAGCGGGGAGCCTGCTTCTCCCTCTGCCCCTCCCCCCCCCCGCTCCTGTGCAAGGGCGGGTGCGCACTCTCTCTCGTAAATAAACAAAATCTTAAAAAAAAAAAGAAAAAGCTTTCACTTTCTGGATTTAAGATCTCAAGGACAAATCCATAGGGAAAGAGGTCTCAAACTCGAAGAACGGATGTGTCACCTCAGGGACCATGCTGGCATTAAGTAGCTGTGGTAACACTGTGGCATCTCGCGCCGTTGACACGAAGCTAACACTGGGTCTCCAACACACAACACTGGCACCACAGAACTATTTTATATTTATGATGCCAGAAAGAGCTTCCGTGGAATTCCAGTGCGGGGTAACTGGGAGCCCTGGCCCGTGTTTCAGTGGTGTAGGCAATTACCCCTGGGGATGGGACTCTGGGGTCGGTTTCAAACCTTCCAATCCCTGCTCCGGACATGCAGGTGTGCTCTATGGAACTGGAAAGAATACTTCTGACACTGAATTCTGTGAGTCAGGCCTTACAATTAGTGTTAGAAATATGCACATTTGTTGAGGACCCTGCGCTGCCATGAGGGCTCAATGAGGTAATGGATTTGAAAAAACTCAGCAAGAGCTCAGACGCTGTGACAACGCAAACACACAGCATTGCTGAGAAAACCAATGTTAATCTTGCCCCTTGCAATGCAACTTAACATTTCATGATGATAAAAAATACATAGTCAGGGCAAAGGTTTATTGACACAATGCAAAAATATCTCAGGTTCTACATGTACACAGTTTGTTTTTACTTGAAAAAGATACCTGGTTGAAATATTAATAACCACTAAAAACAAGTAAATTAACACAATTAATTATAAATTCAGTTGAAATGAAATTTCAATTTAGATTAAATTTACCTTGTGAATTCTAATGAAGTTTTACTTAATTGCAAAACAACTCCATTCACACAGCATTCCGTTTTCCATAAATCCTGACCTCTTACCCAAGAAAATGCAGCTTTTTGGGTAACATTTATGTAAACATGGAAGCCTATAATACACATTTTTATTACCAGTTTCTGTAGTTCTTAATACAAAAAGTTAATAAACTTGAACAAATGTAAAAGTGGGCACAGCCCCCTCGGGGGGCAGCAGCTGAGCTCACTGCCGAGTCTCATTTCTCCAGCAGTGCGAGCGTCACGGTCCACTCCCTAAACACGCCAACTAATCTACTTGTCAACATATGAAAGTTATCAACGGTATTACAGATCTGCCTACAACAAGCACCAGTTTCATGTCAAGTCTGGCATAATATGCACTCCATAAAATGTGTACTAAAGCAAAAAGATCAGCAAATTCAGATAAAACCAATATCCAGAAAGAATGAAAAAGAGGTTCTTCCATGATTGGAGAATATAAGGTATAAAACGTGCTGCACAAAGCTGAGTGACCTCTGCCAGCCACACAACATTTCTCATTTATACAAATTAAAATTTTTGTCCCTGCAGAAGGTCATGATGAGTACATTGATGGATAATATCTTGGCTGGTTAGTTTTTTAAAATTTGATTTTTCACCAAGGGCAAAAATACCACACAACCTAACCAATACAACGAGGGCTCTGAAATCACTCCGCGATCAGGATGGAGTAGCATATGAGAGCCCCCCAGTCTAACACTGGAGTAGCTGCACGGAACAGCTTAGCATTTGAAAATGGCTCCAACACACAGAATTGCCCTCCAGGAAAACCTACTTTAGAAAGGAAACCTGAGCTATAGGAACTAAGAATCAGGGCCCAGCAGTCACCATGGAATCATGGATAAAAAGGTTGAGTCTCCTAATTATTACCAGGATGCACTTTTATAAAAAAGTATAAAACTTGAAAGGAGGAAGAGTGTTTTCTTAAAACAGAAAACAAAACAAACAACAAAAAAGAAAAATCAGTCTATTATATAAAAGATAAAAGGTTACTGCTCCTTCACTTGCTTCTAGTCCTCTTTCTGATCTGCGTGGGTCATACTGAGTCTGGGCAGGAATCATGGACTTCTCTAAAGAACAGGCAGCTAACTTATCAAGCAAACAACCCATTCACTTCCTAGAAGACACAATTATGGCTGGCATAGGAAGCACTGATCTCTGGCTGCTTCTGCACTCCAGCGAGGACAGCAGAGCTCCCTCGGGCCGCGGCTGTCCCCATGGACCGCTGCTGTCCCCACGCAGCCTGTCACGGCACTTACAGACCTCCGATAAGGATGGCCAGACCTCTTGTGTGTAAATTGGTTGGGAAGAAAGAGTTAACTGTTAATTTTGGGTGAGACAACATTTAAACACCAATTATTTTTTCATGACTTCTGAAACTTTTTACAGTCATTATTTTAAAACTGAAAACACTAGAACGGGGAATACCACTGGTTGACTGAGGAGCTCTTTCTGTTTTAATGTCACACATGCAAAAGCTAACTTCAACTCTATGACAAATAAGCTCACAGTAAGTAGATTGTTAAGGCACGACTTTGGGAATTTCAGTGGAAGGTGGAAAATTAAAAGGAAAAGCGTCCACATGAACAAAGCTCAAAATCCAACCCCAACAAGCAGATATGTCCGGTGCACTGATGGGTGGTATTTGTTACTACTGGTAAATATAGAAGCGACTCATGTTGTGGGCAAATGAGAACGTTTTGTTTGAGTTGCCAAAGGACCCGCCAAGCTGCCCAAGGACCAGATGAAAGTACTACATCTCTGGGAACCATTCTGAAAACTAGATGGCCTGCAGGTGGGATGTCAAGTGCTCTCACAGGGAAAATGATTTCTGTAACAACAGAACGAAATGAAGGAGGCCAAGGTTCGGGGCTCTTTCTGGCTATACTTCTGACTACCGTCGATTTCGGGTGCCACCTGTGCACACACCTCTCTAGACGCCATCCGATCTCCTCAGAGGATGGCTACACTAGAAAACAACCTAACTGACAGCTGTAAGACTCCAGGAACATGGACATAAAGGACTATATGTGTGACGTCTGCTCCAGAGAAACGATGCCTATTAAAAAATCAAGAAGGGAAAATCTTAACATTCAGTGACAACATCACGGTCACTTAGAGTCGGGGTTTAAAGAGACACATGAAGAGGTCTGGTTGTCCAGTGGGTCCTGGCGGGCACGCCTCCAGGGCCACTCAACCGCTGCTCGCTGCTGGAGCTTGACCACGGGGTTCTGTGGCGTCACCGAGGGAGTCTTGGCTCTCGCAAGTGCTGCGGCCCTCCAAGAAAGAACAAGAGCGGGCAGCATGACGTACTGTCATCTGGAAAGTTTAAAATCAGTAAAGTGCTGGCCAAGCACCTTATGTCTAGTCCCCAATTTATTCAATTCACGTCTAAGAAGAACCTATGTGACAGTTCATTCCTAATTGTTGTTAGAAGGAACATGACAATTATTTACACACTGTTGCTCACATTACTTTGGGGTTCACTCATTTACTCTTCTACTCAAAAACCACAAAAATAGTATTTTAAGAACAAAGACACTTGAAATGAGTAAGGGGCTCAGCTCCTGCTTTTTGGCAATGCCACCGCTAACCAGGCTTAAGTTGCGGGAACGCATTCGTTTCTTTAAAAAGGAGGGTGGGGAGGCTGTCTGCACCTGTTTACTTCAGAAGCTGTAACACCCCACTGTTCTGAACACCCAGCTTTCTTCTCTTGCTATAGTTTTTAACTTCACACACTGTCACCTCTCACATAAAAGCTTGACACTTGAGGGAATAAAGGGCTCATTCCTGGTACAAGTGTCACAACCGTTCCACAGAGCCGCCATGGGGACCATCGGCAAATCAGAGCTCCACTGGCCAGGCCACTCACATGTGATCTCATTGAGAGGATCTTGTAACAGCCAAAGACCACCTGGGTCTCAGGGAAGATTCTGCTAGGTATGAATACTACATCTAGTGTGAACCCCACATCTTGAGTTTTAACTCCGTTCAAACACACTTGCGTATCTGAAATGCGAATCTCCTATTCCTCTCCTCCCTTGTCAATCATGCCTCAGAACAGGTGCCCTGTAACATTCCAACCAGGAAACACACTTGCAGTTCAAAAGACCTGCATTCAAAATCAGAGGGACTGTGCAACCATATAGAAATTATTTAATAACTGTACATGTTACTTTGTTGTTTGTTGGTGAGGCAGACAGATCTGTGAGAGCTGTAATTTTCAGTGGTTTCACTGTAATGTGTATTAAGTGCCTCGGGCACTGTCTGGCACAAAAAAACATCATATAGGACAGCTGTTGTCATCGTGCTTACTTGGATGTCTATTCCTTGAGGGATCGTCTGGCTCTGAATCCAGGAGTGCACCTTGACCAGCTCCTCCCTCTGCCCACGTGAGAACCAGGGCTGCTGCCCCCGCATGCCCGCCAGCTTCCCCAGGTCCTCTCTCAGGACAGCCTCTGTCACCCTGAGGACAAACGAGCAACCTTAGTCCTGAAGAAGGCACCAGGGTTCTTCTGTCATCCGAGACAAGCATTTCTTGGCTTTGCGATATACTTTATAACTCTTGCTAATATATAATGTGCCCATTAAAAAAATAACAACTTGGTGAAGCTAGAGCACTTTTTCTTGGTGGAAAGCACCTGCACAGTGCTTGAATGAGGCAGACAGAAGAAACAGATTCCCCTGAGCTCCTCTCTTCTTGTAGAATGGGAAAAATTCAGAATCTAGAGAGAAAAGTTCTGGTACTTGTGTGCCATCTTGGAAGTGCTCCCTTACTCTGCTTTCTGGTCTCAAGATGCACAACATGTTGGTTCAGTGTGGATCGGAGTGTGTGTGTGTGGCACCACCACCATGGCCACTGTCCTAGGATGACTCATCATTTGACTTCAAATGAATGAATGTGAAAATCTAGTTCTCTAAGAGCATGTATAAAAAACATAATTTAAAAATCATTTTGCATTAAACAACATACTTAAGAAATCATCAAAAAAAACCCTCATAAAAGTGGGTCTTCTGAAGTGCTTTCTTACCTCTCAGGTACCTGATATGTCATTAGAATGCACTCAGGAGTTTGTTTTATCATTCTCCACATGGACTCTTCAGCTAAACTGGGAAATGTTTCCTTTTGTACATCCTGAGACTGCTGCCCGTTTGAGGTGATTTCAGAAGAATAATCAGTACTAGCGAAGTACATACTGCTGTCATTGCTTCCTATCAAAGATCAACAACAATTACAGGTTAGGAGATACCTCTTAGAGGCCGACTTGCCAAACTTATTCCTCAAAGACTCTGGCAACCAGCTGACAGTCTCTGTCACCACGCAGCCCAGCCACGGTCCCGGGTGACCTCACCTCCCAGTTCCTCCACCTTCCCTAGATCTCCCTCTCACTCCTCCTGAGCTGACCGCACTCAAGGCCATACCTTGCTCCTTTTCATCATTTGCAACTGCTCCATGTCAGCTCCATCTCCCAAATCACTAACATCTTACTCAGCTTTACTTGCTAGTCTGCTTGTTCAAGTGCGCCAACTACAAATCTGAAACCGTGCCTCGGCCCTTCGGCTCAGAGCCCAGCACCCATCATTCAGTTAACATGCTTTGCAACACCTGAGATTTCTTTTTCCCTCTGACCTTTCACAACTATCCAAATGTCAATTCTCATAAAGCCAACTGTCAATTTTGTTCTTATGTAAACCCTAGTAGCCAAAGATATGGAGAAAAGTCATAAATAATAGGGTACATTGGTTCATCATCACCAAAAGGATCATTCAAATGCTGGGTAACTCTGCTATGGTCTCTGGCCAGCACACCAGCCTGTCCCAGCAAGGACTACTTTCTACACTTCTGCTCCCTCACTCTCATCTGTTAGAAATGCAATTCATTATCCTGACACTAAATGTAAGCTTACTCAAATCTACACTCTCTCCTCACCTCCTCCTGCTACAACAGAGAAGCTTTCCATCCATCCCACGGCCCATCCCTTTATGGCTGCTATGGAGCCTTGCAGATCACTCTTTTCCTATCTTGCATCTGACCTTTCTAGATCCTTTTCATCAACTTTGAAACAATAAAACAAACAAAAAACCCAAAGTACCTCTCTAATTTTTTAAAAAATTATATGGGCAGATATAAAAGATGTTTTTCCTCACTTAAAAAAAGAAAAACTCCCTAAAAGGTAATTGTTTAAAGCAACAACAACAATTTTATTGTGGGGTTTATAATACATGTAGAAAGAATATTTTTTGTAAGCAAAAATAGCACAGAACATGAAGGGGAAATGGAAGCACTCTTTTAAGGTTCTTAGACATAAAGTGATATGATACATATAAGGTCTGAAGGTTAACTGTGATAGATAAAAGATGAACCTGTAAATCCTAGAGCAATGACTAAAAAAAGAAAAAACAATGAGAGGTATAGCTGAGAAGCCAGCAATAGAAAGAAAATAAAATCATTAAAAACACATAATTATCAAAAAGGAAGAGGGGAGGAGGAAAAAAAAAAGAAACAGCAGATGAGACAAATATAAAACAAGTAGCAAGATGGAAGATTTGATTTACACTTGACCATATAAATAGTCACATTAAATGTAAATGGTCTAAGTACTCTAATTAAAAGGCAGAGACTGTGATATGAGTAAAAAAAAAAAACCCAACACCCGGGCACCTGAGTGGCTCAGTTGGTTGGGCGACTGCCTTTGGCTCAGGTCATGATCCTGGAGTCCTGGGATCGAGTCCCACATCGGGCTCCCTGCTCGACGGGGGGTCTGCTTCTCCCTCTGACCCTATCCCCTCTTGGGCTCTCTCTCTCAAATAAATAAATAAATAAATAAAAACTTAAAAAAAAAAAAAACCCAACACCCAACCATATGCTGGTTATCAGAAAACAACTTTAAATATACAGAGAAGTTAAAAGTAAAAAAAAAGGAAAAAATATGCCAGATAAACACTAATCAAAATAAAGCTGGAGTGGATACACTGATACTTAAGTAGATGTAAAGCAAAGTACATTCCATTACAAAGAGATCAATGATTCAAAAGGGCCTAACAATCTCGAATGTGTATGCACCTCATAAAAGAGCATCAAACTACGTGAAGCAAAAACTGAAACGTAAGATATAGGCTAATTCACAACTATAGTTGGATATTTTAACATCTGTCTCAGTAACTGATAAAACAGAAAATTGGTTCGAATGTAGAAGACTAGAGCAACATTTTTCGTCAACTTGATGTGATTTACGTTTACATAAGAGCAGAGCGTTTTCAACTGCACATGAAACTTGTATCAAAACAGACCAAATTCTGGACCATTAAATAAGTCTCAGTAAATTTTTAAAAATACAATGTTTTCTGACTCTAATTAAGTCAGAAACCAATAAAATATCTGGAAAAATCCCCAAATATTACAAAATTAAAAACATTTTTATAACCCATGGCCAAAAAAAGAAAACACAAAGGAAATTATAAGATATTTTGGATTGAATGAAAATACATCAAAATTTGAGGAATGTAGTGAAGTAGTGCTTAGAGGGAAATTAAAAGCATCAATTGTATATATTTAGGAAGGAAAGAACAGTCCCAAAGCAATGCTCTGAGGTTAAGAAATCAGAAAAAGAACACATAAAATCCAAGGTAAAGAGAGGAAAATAATAAAGATTAGAGCAGAAATTGATCAGATGCAGAACCAGAAAACAATAGGAAAAAAAACCCCAATGAAACCAAAAGTTGCTTCTTTGAAAAGTAATAAAATTGGCAACCATACAGCCAGAATGATCAGAAGAAAATTAATATCAGTAATTAGAGAGAAAACATTACTATAGATTCTACAGACCTTAAAAGGATAAGGGAATATTATAAACAACTTTATGCCAATAAATTCAACAACTTAGATGAAATGGACAAACTCCTTGAAAGATACAAATCACAAAGATCACTCAAAAAGAAAGAGATGAACTGAGTAGCCCATATCTACAAAAGAAATTAAATTTGTTGTCATAAACCTTCTCCTAAGGAAACTTCAGGCCCAGAGAGCTACACTGGTGACTTCTACCAAACATTTAAGAAAGACATAATATCATTTCAATATAAACTCTTCCAGAAAACAGAAGAGAAGGGAACAGTTCCCAACTTATTTTTTAGGCCAGCATTACCCTGGTACCAAAACCAGACAAAGATATTACAAGAAAAGAAAACAAAGGGCCAATATTTCCTTTAATAGTGTGATAATCCTTAACAAAATCTGAGGGCAGAGAATCCAGCAATATATAAAAAGGATAAAATAGCATGGCCAAATACAAGATTTGTTTAATATCTGAAAAGTAGTGTAATTCACTATATTAACAGAATAAGGGAAAAGAACTATATGATTACCTCAATAGATGCAGAAAAATCATCTCGGCAAATTAGCATTAGAAAAGAATTCCTCAATTGTACTGATAAAAGGCATTTAAGAAAGACCTACATTTAATATCATCCTTAATGGTAAAATTCGCCTGCTTTCCCCCTAAGACTGCTAATAAGACAAGAGTATCAGTCTTACCACTTTCATTCAACATTAGGGGTCCTAACCAGTCCAATAAGGCAAGACAAATAAGTAAAGACATACAGATCAGAAAAGAAGAAGTAAACTATATTTGCAAACAACAAGACTGTCTATACAGAAAAGAGCTACTAAAGAGCTACTAAAACTAATAAAAGAGTTTAGAAAGATGGCAAAATACAAGTTCAAAATAAAAATTCAATTAGATTTCTATATGCCAACAACAAATACGGAAATTGAAATTTTACAACGCCATTTACCATAGTATAAAAAATGAAATCCTTAGGGATAAATTTAGCAAAATATGTGTAAGATTTGTGCACTGAAAAGTATAAAAATGCTGCTGAGAAAAATTAAAGACCTACATAAATAGAGAAATACACCATGCGTGTGTACAGAAGACTCAATACTGATAATTCTCTACTGGTTTATTGATTCAACATGATGTCAATAAAAATCCCAGGAGGCCTTTTCGTAGAAACTAAGAAACTGATTCTACCATTTATATGGACAAAGGACCTATACTATTCAAAATTATTTTGAAAATAAGAATAAAGTTGGAAGAATTACCTCATCAGATTTCAAAACTTATCTGAAAGCTGTATTACTCAAAAAAATATGGTATTACCCAAAAGCTAACCATAAAGATAAACAGAACAGAAAAGAGAGTCTACAAACAGACCCAACATATACAGCCAATTTATTTTCAACAAAGGTGCCAAGGTAATCCAATGGGGAAAAGATTAATCTTTTTGACAAATGGGACAGGAACTGGAGATCCATACACAAAGAAGGTATCAACCCTTACCTCACACCACATATAAAAATTAACTAAAAATGGATCACAGACCTAGCCACAAAAGATTGTTTAAAAAGGGGTGCCTGGATGGCTCAGTTGATTGAGCATCAGACTCGGTTTTGGCTCAGGTCATGATCTCAGGGTTGTGGGATCAAGCCCCACATTGGGCTCCGCGCTCAGCACAAAGTCTGCTTGTCCCTCTCCCTCTGCTCCTCTCCTTGCTCGTGCTCTCTTAAATAAATAAATAAAATCTTAAAGAAAAAAAAAAGATTGTTAAAAAAGACACAATAGGGACACCTGGGTGGCTCAATCAGTTAAGTGTCTGACTTTTGACTTTGGCTCAGGGTTGTGAGATTGAGCCCCACGCTTGGGACTCTCTCTCTTCCTCTTCCTGTGCCCCATACCCACCCATTTGTGCATGTACACACTCTCTCTCTCACACACACACAAAAAGACACCACAAGCCCCAAATGGAGTCACCTGTGCTTGGTCCATGTCAGCAAACCAAGACTTAATACCTAACCTAACTGCAGTTTCATTTTCCCAGGAATGTAACTTTTAACCAGTCAACATGGAATTACCTGGTCATGACTAATGAGATAATCTACCTGATAAACCCTTTCCATTTCCCTTAGGACTGTGACCTTGTCTGAAATGATGTATTCTTTAGTAGTAACTTCCTTTTCCTGTCCCCTTTCTGCCAAACAAAACAAAACAAAAACCCCCCAAAAACAAAAACAAAAAAACCATTCCATTTTGTACAGCTCTTCAGAACTCCTTTCTGTTGCTAGATGGGATGCTGCTCAATTCATGAATCATTGAACAAAGTCAATTTGATCTTTACATTTACTCAGTTAAATGTTTTTTTGTTTAACAAGA